GTAGTCACTGAAACGTAATCTCTGAAATATCCAGAAGTTACTCGTGTTTAATTGAGAATAATCTTTGACGTTTACTACGAATCTTCGCTGTGATTCCTCTGAGTTTAGTCTTAGCATTATTAATCTTTGTGAATTTTATTTGAGTTATAAATCAGACGTAACACCGGTGACAACGTCTTTACCACCATAAAGATTTCGCAAATAGAAATGTTTAAGTGCCATAGTATCTGCTATGGAACGCTTCTGATCAAACTTAAGAATTTCAACTTCTTCAGGGCTAAGATTCTGGGAAGCAGCAATTGTATTAAAATCCATTTCTTTAATAACTAATGTTTCAACTCTAACCTCATTACAGATTCTTTTACGGTTTCCTATAACTCCTCAACTCTCATCCATTTTTATTAGTTGGAGAGAAGTATCAGTATTGGCTATAAGACTACAAAGCTTTTCAATAAAATATCTTACGGAAAGATGTTTCTGATGCTTAACTTCAATGAATGTTATTACAGCTGAGAATTCATTAATTTTATAAGAAATGATATTATGATCTCATTTATGGTGGCCCTTTATTGCTGTAGGCAAATTATTAGGTCAAACACTTTCAAATTCTGCTCTAATATTTTCACAGCCTGGTAGAAAAAAGTTCATTAGAATTTTTCTGATAAAACATGGAAACAATATGATGAGAACAGTCACGAATTCGATAAAGCATTTGTGCAAGAGCCTTAATATGAACTGGAGTGATGATATTTGTAATAGCTATAATTATATCAAAGTGTCTCGTAACCTCAAATAATATTTTTGCCTCTACTGTGTTTGTGTAGGCTATACAGTCAAGTTTACCCCAAGTGATATCAATATTAGAGATGTCTTTTTATCACTACTTTTCATCTATATTCCCATAATATGTACAGACTTTAATAGGAGAATTGTCAGGTTTAGACAACTTAGATGCCTATTCTACTAACGTTCTAGCCATTGTTACTCTGATAGATATGAATGCCACACGTTTGCCTTACCTCAAAAGATTATATTCTATTTACATAGCTTCAGCTCCGCTATTCATATCATAAACAAATTCAACTGTCTCACCTATACAAGGCTGATACTTATTATCAACTGTGCAAATATTTTTACCACGATAAGTCTGAAGAAAGGTTAGTGTTGATGTATTTGCAAAAGCATCTATAGACAAAACATATCTTGCAGATCTTAATACATCACATATTGTATTCTCAGATTCCTGTGCATTTGTACTATTAGACATTTGACGCATAATAATATTAGCTTCATCAAGAATAGCTACAAATAGACGGGTTATGAACTCAATATAAAAAGATTCTCAACCTGTACTATGATAATATCCCACTTATTTATATATAAGTCTTCTTGTATATTTTGATAATTACAAATTCGAAAACCAAATGCTTTTAGCTTATTATGTTTCGTTTTTGATTTATTACTAAGAGACTTTTAGTAAGAAACCCAGATATAACATGGCAAAGAAGAGAGATCATGTACCTTATTTTTCAATACCATAATAATCTCTCTTAATGTAGTGGTTTCCATGTCCCTGAAGGAGAATGAATAAGTGTTGTTGTTTTCTCAATACTCAAAAATCAGGATATACTTTCAGAGCATTCTTTAATTTTTCTATATTAATCATTGTTTCTGATAATCTTACAAGAAGGTGTGAATTTGATATAGCATTACCTATTCTTTCAACTAATTCTCTATTAGGTTTTGCAGAAATTTCGGTCACCTTTCCAAATGCTAATTCCTTATGATCTGGTTTATAATTTTTTCTGCCAATAACATTTGAGTATAAAACACCTATTGCTCTAAAGAAAGCCATATAACTGGTCCTTTTCATATTTGATTTCACAAATAGGACATACTTGGTATGATTGGGCTTGAAAGTGAACAAATTCATTTCCAATTCTTCCAATCCCAAGCCATTTATATTTTGCAATAACTAAGTTGGCTCCTTTACTTAAGGTGGTTTCATCTTCAATATATTGAAATTCCTCTTTTTTTGACTTTTCAGAAGAAAAAGTTCATAATCAGATTTCAGAACAATCAGATTTAGACTAAACTAAATAATCTTTTAACTTGCGATACACTTTCTTAACTGAAGAAATCGCAGGGCTATTAATTCTATCTTCTTTTACTGATTCAAGAAGCTGAAGATTAAAGCGTGATTTATAAAGTCCTATATCAATAAACTTAAAGTATGGTTTTCCAACCCTATTAGTAATCTTTTTACAAAATCTCTAAGGTCTCTATAGTCAATAAAGCAGGCATTAAAACATATAATATGTAAGCTACATTTATCAGAATTAGATAAACTGACCAAAGTAAATGCATTTAAAATTATAAAATATTTTAAATCAAAATATAAGATATTGGCACAAGCAATTAAGATTCTAAATAGCAAATCTTCTTGAATAATTCCTTTACCATTTTAAAGAAGAAAGTTCAGGATTTGTGGAATCTGGGTTTTACCTCACATCAATATTCAGAACAAGATGAAAAAGCAGGTTACCTTCAATACATTCATGAGCATCAGGTATTCCATAAATTTCAGATGAATAATCAATAACTGTAAAATCCTTTTCAAATACTCAAATTATATATTTAGAAAAATCTCTTTAGGATGATAAGCATCTAAAAAAACGATATCTTCTTTATTATTAGTTTCTAATAAATGTTGAAAATATGTATGATCATTATAGCCAGGCTTATAATCAAAATCCGTTACACTTGAGAAGAGCCTTATTGCTTCATTTATTTCTATTGGGTTTGGTTTGAATTTTTTTTGCGTAGGTGCAGATAGTATAGTAGTATATGCAAGAAATCAGTATAAAATAATAGAGAAACTTGCAAAATTTAAAATAAAAAATGTAATATGTGTGACTCAAAAACAAAATAAACCATTCTGGCATCTAATCAAATTACTAGCATAAATATGCAATAAATATATTGAATAATACTCCAAAGCAATCGATACAAAGATATCCTGAAGTAGTAACTATACAGGAACGTTGTCTAAAAGCCAAAAACATGCAAAATCTTAGTAATCCAGATAAGCAGAATTATATATAGAAAAGAAAGAATAAATTTTACGCATCTGGGTTACTAATCAGCATTTTATGTCTTATCTTCAGTAATCAAACAGGCTATAAAAGGCAGAATTACAAGAATGACACAATACTAACACTTTGCATGTATTTCACCAGCAATCAAAAAATGGGTGAATAGATTGTAACACATCTTTAGCAAATAGATAGATTGCAAATTCAGCACTTCATATCTCATCCGGCAATCAAGAAATGTTAATTAAGCGGAAAGTAACTATATGAGAATGTTCCAGCACTAGAACAGTATCACATGACTATAATACAGTAAGACGCAGTATTAATTTGCTTATTTTTAGCCAACACTATTCTATAAATTTGGCTAGAAGTTTAGATATAATAATTTGGCACCCAAGCTAACATAAAACTAGCGAACTAATAGATCTTTTTTGGCATTCTGCCAGTTCTATGACAATTCCCTACCAGTTTCACGATAGTTCTATGACACTATCACAGCACTATCATGACGCTAAGCTGGATCTCCAAATCATATACACAAAAGATTAACTGGAATTATGGCATAGTGTTAGCCAAAATTAAACGCAAATTTACTGCATCACCTGATGCATTTTTTTATCACAATTTAGAATTTTAACAGGCAATCAAGCAGGCGTAAAAAAGAGTATCCTTGATATCTTAACAGGCTATCAAACAGGCCCAGAAGCAGGTAAACAAATAGATATCTCTTTAGGAATAAAATGAATACAGAGTAATGTAAATACATGAATATTTTCAAAGTTATAGATAAGCAGGAAAATTTCTTTATTAGATTATAACACTACCATTACTGCCATTAGATTATATAATAACTATACTAATAGTTTGTGATACTACCAATCTACTACAATACAATATAGCAGGAATTAATTAAAATAGTAGTAGAAAGCTGTAAAGATAACTAAACTATAGGTTATGAAGCTACTTGTAGATTATGTCGTCATATCAGATTATAACATCAGGTTATGACACCACCACTAGATTATAACATTAGATCATACCATTACTATTATATTACACTATCACTATTAGATTATACAATCACTATTAGATTATACCACTACTATTAGATTATATCACCACTATTAGTTTATGTCACCACCAGTAGATTTTGTCATCGTTATCATAACCTAACTCAAATCGCTAGAGGTTCTTTTATATAATTATATCAAAGATCCTCTAACAACTTTAATAAACAGCTGAAATTATATTAAATTATAGTGAGAGATATAATAAAATCCCAAAACCTGAAATTAACTGAAACTATATTAAAAATATAATAAGAGGTATGACGAAATTATTTTAAAAAATTTTTAGCAAGCATCTTTAATTAAATTAATTTAAGCAATTAGCTTATTATATCTATTTTTTTTATTTATTTTTATTTAATTTAATTTTTTTTGTTTTAATTTTAATTTATTATCTGATCAATAAATATTTTTAAAATAGAATTACTTTTTAAAGTTTAATATATCATTATATTAAATAAATATTTTTTTATAAAATACATTTTTTAAATTAAAAAGAATTACTATTTATATATTTTTTTAATAATTATAATTTGTAGAAATTACATATTAACATTAATAATTAAAAAATTCATTTAATTTAAGTATATAACTTTTTATGATATATTTGAAAACTTATTTGATTTTTTTTACTTATTAAAGTTGTTTTTATTATGATGAGAATTTTGATTTTATTATAAATTGTTTAATAAAATTTATATTATTAAAAAGATGTTAAAGATAATAATATATAAATTTTTATCAAATCTAGAAAAGTAATTATTAAGATTAGAATCAATAGTAAAAATTAAGCCAAAAGAATATGAAAAATAAAATAAATATAAAAAGAATATATAAAAGAAAAATTTTAACTTATTAAATATAACTTAATATTAAAGTTAAAATCATATAACTATCTTATTACCAATATTAAAAGAATAACATATTAGCTATTTTATTCATAATAGCAAAATCTGGAATCATTATTTTTATTAAATGCTTATATGTAAAAGTGAAAATAAAAAAAAATAAAAACTAATTTTAAGAATAATGATAAAAATATATTATAAGAAAATAATCTACTATCAATTATTAAACCATAAATCAATATCATATTAAGAAAAGAAATTATCAAAAATAATTTCAAATCATGATTAAGAAAATATATCAATTTTGAAAAAAGAATCATCAGAAGTAATTTCAAAATCTAGACAAGAAAATATGTAATTCATGATCAAGAAATTGTATAATGTAAATAATTACCAACATATTTTACATAAGAAATTGTTAATAACAAGATTAAAAAAGGCGGATTAGTTATTTATTATTAACCAACTAATGATGAATATAATATATAAAAAAAAGAATCAAGAACATTTGAAATATTTTGTAAACCATAAAAGTAATTTATATTTGAATTATGCATATAAACTAATTTCTATTTTTATTTAGTCATTATATATATCAAATCCTATTAATAAAAAATTTAAACAAGAGTTCTCATGATTATTTGACGATACAGGTTAGGGAATTATTAAGTCAGTTAAAAGAGAATTAAAAAGTAGCTAGAAATTCAATAATTTCAATTATAAACACTTTAATCTTTCGCGCCGAATAGATTAATTATTTGTCAATATCTATGTAGGTATAAAATAGAATTCAAGAAAAAATTCCTTATCTACATTTGTGTCTCTGAACTGAACTATATTCATAAGGAGATAACCAGTTATATAAATAATCACTTATATTTACATGTTTTTTTTAATTTAACAAATTATAATTATCATATCCTTTAAACGAATAATAAAAAAAATATATACGCGAACTTTAATTGAGTTAAAAAATTCGTTCGACCGATTCAAAAATTAACATACGTACAGCTTCTCATCAAGACAATTAATGTATTACTTTTAGAGAGAATCTTGAGTTCCAAAGAATCGCCTACAAATTTTACATAAAAGAATTTAACAAGAGAAGTCAACAAATGGGTACATGCTCTCTTAGATGAGAAATTATCCAACGGGGTGAACAAGATGTACCATATCTAATAATTCATTAATAATTCGACTACTCAGTTAAGCAATTTCAAGTACCATAGATAACAAATCAATTTTTTTTATTTTTTT